TGGCTATTGCTGGGGACTTTTAGCCAGCTTTACATGGCAAATCAAGAGCAAAGAGCCCAGCAGGATAATTTGCAATACTGTGAGTTTGGCCAGAAGGAAAATGCCAGGAAGGCTGTGGATTGTAAAGCCAGAGTTGAAATTTTGATTGCTGAGGAGAAACAGAGAGATAAGAAAGATGGCCCTGGGACATCCCAGTAAGCAGGTCCCCACCCTTTGCAGCCTCTCTGCAAAGGTGGAACAGTTTGCTCAGAGGAGAAAGCTACAGAGCACCATGCTCCAGAATGGCAACTGAGGCCACATGAGGCTCCAGAATGGCAGCAACATAGAGAAGCTTTTCCTCACAATCAGGTAAACAGAGCCCTGTGATCCAGGCAACTGGCCCCTACAGCCAAGAGAGAGAAAAGCCTGGCTACTGCTTCAGCTGGCAGCAGACCGTGGCGGCATCCACAAGGAGCTGATTTTAGGTGCAAGGAAAATGCACAAATTCTGAGGGTAAGACGGCTTCCACCTCGATTGCAAAGGGCCTGGGAGGCCAAGCAGTATGCCTCTGAGAGGGCAATTTGTGAAGATGCAAAGGTAAAGCCAAAGGTGCAGTGGAGACCCCAGAAGTTTGGAAAAGCCAGGAACGTGGATGATCCAAGGAAAGCTGCATAAAGCAAGCAGAGAGGATTTAAGAGAAAAGCTGCAGGAGCTGATATCCCTGGAAGTGCCATGGGGGTGGAGTCACCCAAGCCTTTTGGAGCTTGCAACCAGATTGTTTCAGATGCTGAGCATGAAACTCTAGGACTTAATGTTTGCCCTGCTGGATGTTGGAATTGCTTTGTTTCGAATGCTTTCTATTCCCCTGTTTGTAACTTTTGGAATGGTAATGTTTTGTCTTGTGCCTTTGCATTTCAGAAATGTTTAAACTTGTTTCATTTGTACAGGGGGTTACAGTTAAGAGTTTGCCATAGATCTTGGAGGACACTTGGAACTTGGACTTCTCAGCAATGCTGAAACTGTTAGGAGTTTGGCGACTCTTGGAGTTGGACTAAATGTGTTTTGCATAAAGGATGTACATGAGTCCTGGGTGCTTCCGGGGTGGAATGTCATGGTTTACGTCGGTGGCCCCCAGGCCTCATGAGTCTGCATTGTGCATTTGTAATTGGTTCATTGTCTAGTGCTTGGATTGATGGTGTCAGTGCTACACCCACCTAGGGGTGGACCCAGAATGTGATGTAGAGGCAGGAAAAAGGTGTGTCTTGCTCTTTGCTGGTTCCATGAACTGTGGCCCAGCCATACCCGCCTACCTTGGAGCCAAATGAGTGTGGACTGAAACCTCCAAAAATTGTAAGAAATAAATCTTTTCTTTCCCAGCTTGGGCTTCAGGTATTTTGTCTCAGAAACAAGTAAGAAGTAACTAAGACAGGTTTTAATTTGCATTTCTCTAATGAGTAATGATGATGAACAGTTTTTCATGTATTTATTTGGCACTTGTATGTCTTCATCTAAGAATTGTGTATTCATCTCAGATGCCCATTTTTTTATTGGATCTTTAAATTCGAGGGGTCTGATTTTTTTAATCCTTTATATGTTTTAGCATGTCAAAAGAAATCTCCAGCATAGTGAAAAGAAAACCCACAAACTGGGAAAAAATCTTAGTGAACTGTCCCTCAGACAAAGGACTTCTATCCACTTTCGTATCTTGAACAACTATTTGTAAGAAGACAATATGTAAACATCAACTAGTGATCTTACTGTTTATTTTTTCTTTGAAAGTATGTATTATTTCTACCCATTTTCTGTTTTTAGTCTTTCTTTAAATAAAATTTTTTAAAAAGAAGTATTTTTTACAGTACTGAGGATTGAATCTAGTGCCTTCACACTAAACCACACACTGTGGTGGGTTGTTAACTGGTAACTTGTTATACCAGCTGAACTGAATCAGATGTGAAGAGCCCACCTGAGGATTGTTGCCAACGTAAAAAGAACTAGAGAGAAAAAAGTTACTGTTGTTGGTTCTTTTGGGTGTTGTTGGTTCTCCTGTTGCCATTGGCTGTCCTGGAGGAGCCTGTCAAGCTTCTTTCCTGATATAAACTTGCCTGTTCTCATAGTCAGAAGAGTTGAGGGTCTTTGTGACTGAGAATAGTTGCAGTTCACTGTGGGGACACTCTGGTCCTCACTTTGAGCATTGCTTCCTTGCTCAGGAGAGGAAGATGGTGTGCTGGTCAATCTCCAGAAGAAGCCTGTCATAATGGTTCCTGACATGAACTCTGCTTTTCTCATCATCAGAGGAGCTTGGGACCTTGTTGTTGCAGAAGATGGTTGTGGTACTTTTCAGGGGCTCTAGTCCTTACTTTGAGCATCGCTTCCCAATTCCAGTGCAGATCCCTAAACCTGGCACAGATCCTTCATCCCTCTGACACACACTTTCTAGCTTTCAGTGCTGACCTTTGAGCTTCCCAGCACAAATCCATGAAAAATATTGGCATGAGACATTGTTGTGGGCTCTAAGCTTCCAAATGGACTCATGCGGGGCATTGTTACGGGCTCTAGGTCTTCAAATGGACTCATGAAGGACATTGTCATGGGATCCAGGTCCTCAACTGGATTCATTGGGGTCGTAGTGTGTGGACAGATTTCCTGCACTCTTTCTTTTGTATTTGACTCTTTGATTGACTATCATAAAATAATTTTATGAATTATGTGTCCTGCATTAAATTATTTTCCTTGCAAACCCTGACTACAAAAATCACCAACCTTTTTTTATTGTTGAAAAACAGAGTATTTCTGAAATAAAGATAATGCAAAAAAAACTGGAAAGAAAACAGAGTAACAGAATTTTCAGTGAAGCCAGTATCCAGCAGTGCTATGCTGAGCCAAATTTGTACCTGTAACAGAAGAGCTGCACCCCTATATGCATGCTTCCATAGACATTTTTAATAGTTGATTTTTCCCAAGTTAAGCATTTTACAAATAATGTATTAAAACTCATAACACTAGTTTAAGTTTAAATATCTTTTTTTTTTCCCCAGGGTTCGAACTCATGACCTCATGCTTGCCAAACAGGCACTTTTGCTACTGAGCTAAAGTTTAAAACCCCTGGCCTAAGTTTAAATATCTTACTTATACTAAAAAAACTAACATTTATTGTCATTCTACCTTCTGACTTTTATGAAAGCGAGCTCCTCAATAAGATTTTGTAAATTTACTTATTTTCTTATTTTGAGTGAGTGAATTGCCATGTTTAACAGTTTCCACAGACCAGATAACAATCTTACATGTTTTAATTTCCTGAAATTTATTCTACAGAATACTATTGCGATACATACTGGTTAAAAAATTCTCAAGACCATTCCAAATTGGAATAAAATTTCATTAATCAAAGCTCATGAATAACTTTTAGAAGATGAAAACATGATGCTGATTTTATATTATAGGTTACTGACATTGCAAACTGCTTGAAATATTTCAGATAAAATCTGTCCAGAGCTTAAATCATCAGAGTGTTTCAGAGCTGAGTCAGTGGCAGCTTTTTGAAAATCAGATGTATTCATGCAGAATAATACTGTTTGGTTAAAAATTCAAAATCTGAAGATAGTTTGTTTAATTTTGCATTTCTCCATTTCAAATGTTAAATTAAGGGATTTATAACTTTCTAAATTTCGATTTGATACCCACTTTCCCCATAATAATTTATACTCTCCTCTGGTGATTCATACATTTCCAATCTCTTTACCTTTCCTTTTCATTCATTTTCAAATTCATGAGGAATATTCATGTCTTTTGCTAATGCTTTAAGTTCATGAGCATAATTTCAAAGTTACTTTCATTTAGTTTAATTCACAAGGCTCCATTGAAAACAAGTAAAGAAGGAATGAAGTCAGTTTTGAAAATATTGATGACTTTGTTTCCTTTAAAGTCAAGAAGGTAGAGTTACAACAAATTCTGATTTGAGTAAAAGGATATTTTAATTTCAAATAATGTTGCAAGCTTTTATACTTCTACTTTTCAATTTTTAATATTTGTTTGCCTACTTCAATGTTCTGGAAAAAGAAATAACCAGTGAGAAATGCATAACAATAAACAGTAATTCCTTAGGATCTGTGAGGAACCAGTTCCAGGAGCCCCACAGGTACCCAAATCTGCAGACACTGAAATCCCTTACATAAAATGACACCGGGTTTGTAAATAACCTGTGCACATCCTCCCATGTGCATTGTCATCTCTAGAGTAATCATAATACCTAACACAATGTAAACACAAAACAAAGTAAAGACAATGTAAACAGTTGTAATACTATATTTTTAAGGGACTAATAACAAGAAAAACGTCCGAACATGTCCAGGTAAGTTGAAAAAGGTTGTTGTTGTTGTTTTTCAGGCTCCACAATCACCTGAATCCATGGCTGTGGGGTCCACTGTAAAAGAGGCCGGACTGTACGTAGGAAAGTATCCCTTTTGCCACAGGCCATACAAGAGCTCAGCACGGGCTGCTTGTCTTTATTACTGATGTACTCACATCCTCAGCCCCAGAGCTTGGGACCCCAGGTCATGGGTGAAGGCTGGAGTCTGGGGACAAAAACCTATGTTCCTCTTCTCTGCAGCCCTTAAAGAGTGCTGTAGCACTTGGGCTTCATTTGCTCCCTCTCATCTACTTTTCTCTCATCCTTAAAACCCATAAACAAAGAGCAATGAGGAGGAAGTAAAAGCATCAACCACTTCATTTCCTATGATCCTGGCCTATCTGACAAAGAGCATGGACTTCTAAGCCATTTTTCTGGCCTCCTGGCACAGTTCTGCCTCTGTCCTGCTCTATAGCCTTGAATGAATTGTGTAGCCCTGCATGCCCTACTTTCCATATCATTAAAATAATGAAACCCTTGACTCTTGAGATTGCCATGAGTGTTAAGTGAACACAGGTAGAAAAATCCTTAGTGCATGCAGACCCTACATAAATTTGATCTGTCTATCATCGTGGGCACAGTTGCAGGCAGGGAGTATTCCTGTGACTTCACTCACCTGTCAGTGACAGTGTCATTTTGGGATTTGATATCAAACTTCTTAGCATCTGGTAATCTAGCTTCTTGCTGCTTCATCGATTCTATCAGAAAGAAAAGATGACTAGATCAGAGACAGCAGACATCACTGCTCATAACACAACAGCAAGTCCCACAGGTAACGCAGAAGCGTTACTAGATGCTGAATCACAACCAGAGACTCTGAAATTGGGAAGCCACAGTTTTTATAGCACATAATAAACAAGTAGAGTCAAGTCATTACCTCATCTCTCAAAGTGATCAGCTGCATAAACCACACTGACAAGTGGCCTGGTTAAGGGAGCAATGGGGTCTAGAAGTATCAAAACACCTATCAGGTCATTCAGGAGATCAGGAGAACAGTGAGGAGTCTCCACTGTACCAGTGAGTTCTATCCAGTGGTCTCCACTGTCCCTGGGAATCAAGATCTCTCATATATCTCTCATAATGTACAATTCGTCCATCAACTCTAATTCTACCTCCAAAGTCAGAGACTTGATATATCATTCCTCTTCAACAGAAGGAGGGTAACACCACTCCACTCTCTGCTTTCATCGTTGTTTTTGTTTTGTTTTTTGAGACAGGGTCTCACTATGTGGTTCAGGCTGGCCTTGAGCTCACTTGTAGCCCAGGCTGGTCTCGAGCTCACAATGATCCTCCTGTCTCAGCCTCCCGAGTTCTGGGATTACAAGAGTGGGCCACCACACTCAGCTTCATCTGCCTTCATCTTTACCTGGATTTCTGCACTATATGTCTCTTTGTCTTTTCTCTTTCTACCTTTTTTCAGAACATCTGTCTCTAGATTTAGAGCTACCCTAATGGAGGATGATCTCATTTTAAGATCTTTATCTTAGGTACATGTTCAAACACATTTATTCCTCCTAAGCTTGCATTTTGAGGTTCCAGATGAACATTTCTTCTAGGGAACACCTTTTGTACCACTGTACCAACAACCATATGTGGAAGACTTGGTGACACACCAGTTCCAGAAGAACTCAACCAAAGCAGTCTTCCTCTTCCATTCCACCAGCAGTCTGTGAAGACACTTCTCAACATGGAGGCAGAAGGCACAAGCACGGAGAGGGACCCCTGATGGATGCTGGCTTGGGGAAACCTTGTGATGCCAGCTTACCAGTCTTGTGGGAGCAGCCTTTGGCCCTCTAAACAGACAGGTCCTTGTTTCTAACTTAGAGTAGCCTTAAATGACACCAGTGATACATGACATATGAAATTAACAAATATCCTACTTTGGAACATTACAGGGTCAACCTGTGAAACTTTTTGTGATTACCCACAACTAAGGGTCAGTCTGTTGCAGGTCATTAAGTTATGTATTTACAGTGGTAATTTACAAGCTGGTACTAGCAATTAATTTGAAATGTTCTCAAAGTTCTTTATTCGCCCCACACATCCTGTACACATCAGCTAGGCCAGAGGCCAGACCATAGCCACTGTCTTTACTTGTAAGTGACAGGTTATCTTTGAAGCATAGATTCTTCACAGTCAGCTGTAGGAAGTCAGATGTTTGCATATATCACAAAAGCCCATCCCTTTCTGATCCCAGATTAAATGCCAGTAAGGACCCTAATAAGATATTTAGGGCATTCAGTCAACACCTAAAGACCATATAAATCTCACAGAACTGGTCCACATCGCCATCCTCCAAACCTGACTTGATGCTTTTTGTTTTTTACTGCAGTAAATTTTTGTCACCTTTCAAACTTTCTGTCTTAAAAAAAAAAAAAAAAAAAAAAAAAAAACAAACGTGATCTGGCTCTATATTCCACCAGAGGCACTGTTCCACTTAGTGAGTGACTATGGCTGTCACTGAGGCAAAAGAGGAACTAAGCTGTGAGCTGCACTGATGAATGCAGCACAGAAGAGTGACCTGAGTGTCAGGAAATATCCGCGTTGGAAATAGCTTTAAGTTAGAGTTAAAAGCCTAAATACCCGATGTCAGCATTAACAGCTCTTGTCCAAATGGGACACTAAATAGAAATGTCTGCTCTGGGCAAAATCAACATGCCACTTTGGACAGCGATGTTGATTCCCTTTGAGTGAATTTAGAACAATACACATGTAATTGAAAATTCTCTCTCAAGTGGCTGATCAATTCCTAAGGACAAATTGCCTGAGAAATAGCTAGAATATGTGATTACATCACTAAGTCAAATGGAGCCTCAGCTTGGTTTGATCTCTCCCTGTGATAGATAGAAAGGGTTCGGCTGCTCTTACCTCCACTCTCTTACTTTACATTGGGGACACAGAGAGGCACAAGGGGCCACACAAGCACTTTCCAGCTAGCTCTCCAAAGTCAAACACAAGTCACTTTGCATGTGGCCCTGCCACTTGGCTTAACAGTTCAGCTCAGCTCACTGATGAATGAGTTCAGTGACTTTGCAAGGTAGGAGGTCTAGAATCCAAATTGATGGCAAAGTTAATACATTCAACAATGTACTCTTTAAGATCACAGACCATAAAATCAGCTTGTCTAGAAGCTGTGTGATCCCAGGCCAGGAGCATAATTTTGCGGTGGTTCGATTTCCTCATATTTTAAATATAGATGTTCACTTCTCAGTGAAGAAACACAAACAGCAAATAAGTATGTGAAAAAAAATGTTCAGCATCACTGGTCATTTGAGAGATGCAAATTAAAACAACACTGAGGTTCTACCTTACCCCAGAAAGAATGGTTAGTATCAAGAAATCAACCAATAACAAATGCTGGAGGGGCTGTGGGGAAAAAGGAACCCTTCTCCACTGTTGGGAATGCAGACTGGTGCAACCACTGTGGAAATAAGTGCAAAGATTTCTCAAAAACCTAGCAATGAAGGTCCCATTCGAACCAGCTATTCCCCTCATGGGTATCTTCCCAAAAGAATTTAAAACATCATTGTTTTAAATGTGCACCCATGTTTATTGCAGCACAGTTTATAATTGCCAGATCTTGAAACAACCTAAATGCCCACCAACTGAGGGATGGATAAAAAGATGTAGCATTTTTATATAATGGAGTACTACTGAGTCATAAAGAATGAAAAATTGGACACTTTTCTATGTAAATATATGCATCTTGAGAACATACTCATTAGTGAAATAAATAGGTCACACATGTAAACATCATATTGTTTCATTAGTGTGACAAACTGAAGGAAAAATCATATGTATATGTGTACATATATGTATATAAAAATAGTTAAGATACTGATTCCTCTGGCTTTGCTAAAGAGAAAGATTTGTATTGGTAATGTTCAGACAATTGAAGGCAGATATTCTGTCTTCTGGGTGAATGATTTGGGGATGACAATGCACATTCTATGAACTATTGTTACCCTGATTGATGTACTGTAAAATTTTGTTGTAGTTTTTTTCTTCTTCTTTTTCTTTCTTTTTATATAAGAATAAAGTGGATTTTAAAACAAATACAGGTGGTAATGATGGTACCCATGGGTAGGTTTGCTATGAGGATAAAATAAGCTAAAATACATAAAAGCTTAGAGTACTTGTTTCAGTCCTTTCTCTTGCCAAAAACACAATAATGTCATAGAATAAATTATAAAAAGAGGTAGTTTTGGCTCATGGTTTTGGAGGTACAACTCAAGGGATGGAACCTATTGATGGCCTCCTTACTGACAGAGTTCCAAGATGGAGCCAGCAATCACATGACAATAGCAGGGAGTGTGCATATATACATTGTGTCTCTTCTGATGTCTCCCCCTCTTCTTTTAAAGGCAGCAGGATTCAGTCATGCTAATGCCACCCCAAAGACCTTATCTAATCCTAAATGCCTTCCAAAGGCACCACCTTTCAACATCAGAGGTGGGTTAAGTTTCCATACTCATAATCCCTCAAGATGAAGATTAAATTTTAACACATGAACTTTGGGAAACACACTCCAATTTCAACACTCCAAATCCTTGGGGGACACACTCCAACACAGCCAAATTGTAATAATGCCATTGTCCTGTACTATGCACTATGTGAATATCTACTATTTTTCTAATAAAAGCTCTGAAGAGCATTTGCCAAAAACTTTACAGATTTCATTGCATCTCCTAAAAATACATGCTCTGTCGTAACCCCTAGTATTCATGAATGTGGCCTTATTTGGAAATAGTAGCTTTGAGGGTGTAGTCAATTAAGATGAAGTCACACTAGAGTAGAATGAGCCCTTAAACCCGTCACTACTTAGAGTTCTTCTGAGAAACAGAAGCTGCATGTTTGTTTGTGTGTATTCATGCATGTGTGTGTATGTATATACATAATAATTTGGCTCATGTTATTCAGAAAGCTGAGAAGTCACATAATCTGCAATCTAGAGACACAGGAAAGCTGGTAGTACAATTTACACCAAGTTCAAAGTCTCAAAAGGTATTGAAGTCAGTGCCATAAGTCCCAGTCCAAAAGTCCAAGAACAAAGAACCCTGATGTCTGAGAGCAAGGATAGGTGAGAAAACAGAGAAAAAACTCATCCTTTCTCCACCCTCTTGCTCTGTCTGGGCCCTCAACAGATTGAAAGATGATCATTCAAATTATAAGGTTGGATCTACTTCTTCCAGAAAAACCCTCACAGAAACAATGTTTGACCAGCTATCTGGGCATCTCTTAGCCCAGTCACATTGACATGCAAAGTTAATATTTACATCCAATATGACAGCTACCTTTACCTGAAGACAAAATTTGAATACAGACACATGAGAAGAAAGTATATAACAACAAAGACAGAAGCTAGAGTGAGGAGTCCCCAGGTCAAGGTATGCTAATAAGTGCCAGTCATCACCCTGGTCTGCAGGAAAGGCATATAATGGAATTTCTAGAAGGAACCAACCTTACCAACACATTGACTCCAGAACTATGAGAAATTCGGTTTCTGTTATTGTAAATCTCACCCCCAATTATCAATAATTTGTTGTATCAGGACCTGGAGATTAAAACAAGGAGAGTAAAACCTGTTGCACAAAGTTTTCTGTAAAAATTGTATCTAAATTAAATTGAAAGGGAAAAAGAATTAGTTAAGAAAATTAGATTTAGAGACCATAGAAATTTTAGAAAGACATCAAAATTG